TCCCACGGTTGCTCCTGTAGGGCTGCGAGAAAGTCGAAGTCACAGTGCAAAGTCGCGTCGTATTGAGACTGGCGACAAATGGCCATCTGCTGATAGAGTTCGCGTCGCGACAGCGGTACGGTCCTCTCGATAACCCGTCCCAGTTTCTGGTCGAAGAAGAAGCCACGCTTGGTGCCCGTCGTGAGGACATCAGTGACATTGGGAATGTTGCAGACGAAGTTGGAATGGATGTTGTACGGATCCAACATGAGAATCTGCTGCTTGCCGCGAGGGTCGATCCAGCTGTCGTGATCCACATAGAGGTCGAAAGCACTCAAGATGACCTTGGATGGGACGAACTCAAGCGCCATCCGGACAAGGTGGCGCGGCACGAAACAAACGATGAAGCCGCTTCGATTCTTGCGGAAGACCTCATTGACCAGCCGTTCCATCCTGTCGTTCCAGCCTTCATGTTGGCCCAAGGCCTCCATTGGGACGGGGGGCTGCGACGATTCAAGCTCGAGACAGCGCTCAAACGGCAAGCCCAGGTTCGTGTCGGGCTCACTTAGGTTTCCAAAGGGAGCAGGCGAGGGTGTGAAGAATGATGACATGACAACCAGATTCCAGGCGTAGTTGTCTTTGGCGCTCTCCTTGACAAGCCTCTGAATGAAACATCCAATCACGTCAGACGCAATGGTTCGGCTTCCATCCAGCTTGACAAAGAGCACTGCTCTGCTTCCAATGAGGTCTTTGAATCGATCAGTCTTTTTTAAGTGAGAAGCCACTTCCATGGTCAAGACGTTAAAAAATCCTCTGTTCTTGATGGCAACTGCCTCTGTGTAAGAGGGCACGATGAGAAAGGATTTCAGGTTCTTGGTCGCCGCATGATCATGTACTGCCTTGACCACCTCGAAGCAGTCGAATCCGGCGGAAAGTCCAGACAGGTTGAAGTGTTTGAAGCCAGATGTGGCCAAGGCGTTCTTGATTCTCTGAATTTCTTGCGCGAAGTGGCTGTCAGGAAAGGCGACAAGCTCTATAGGCTCGCTTGGCTCCATGGCCTGGGTTGTCTGTGTCGGCGATGTCAGCGGAAAGGGACCAGAGGAACTGAATGTGAAGGGGCTCTACTTACGTTTTCGTCTCCATCCATGGCTTGCCTCTGAAACTTGTTGACCGAAGCAAAGTCGTTAAAGCGCGAAGCAAGGTGTTGAGAACGTGATGCTGGGTTCAGCGTGGCTCGAGCAGCCGTGGTGATATTGTAATGGATTTGTTTTGATATAAGAATCTCTGGAGCGCACGGAAAGAGAGATGTGAAAAGCTGTGGAGTAGTAAGGGAAGGGAAAAAAAAAACAGAAGAAGAGCGCGAAAGCAGCTGAGACGTGAAGCTGAAGAAAGAGGGCTGCTCTTGTGGTGCCTCAGTTGACAAAAGTGCCCCACTTAAACTCACCTCACCCGACCTTCGACTTGCGTCCTCCACGTCTTCTTCTGTATGAGAGAAAGAGCGATTGACAGAAATCCTGTCAAATTTGCCTGATTTGTTGTTTCTTTGGAGACCACAGCTACAGACGTCAGCAGGAGGGCGGGGATTGGCCGGTTTAGCACTAAGCAGGACGATGACGACAAGGGCGACTGCAAATATAGGGGTCTTGCTTGCCTCAAACAATAATCTGAATCGAGTGATGTAGGAATTGAAAAAGCCCGACTTGGGGAGATCTTGGGGAGGGAAGATGGAGGATATGCGTACTCCAAGTCGCTCCTACCTGTCTACTTGTAGCTGCATCTCCTTGTCCGCTATTGCCCGTGAGAACCCCCGCCTTTTTACTTTCTTTCCCTGTCCCGGCTCAACATCTGACGTCTTCTCCTCACATATTCATGACCAAATTCGTAAGTACCATACCGGACTTTCGATTACACAGGGAGATATCCAGACAAGCAATCAATATAAGTCGGTGGGCCTTGGTCATGTCATATAAGATCGCGCGCAACGGGGTTCGTCGCTGCATCATAACCCGCAAAAGCACACCCCTAAGTTCAGCTTTCAAGGTCGACTGGCCATCACTCCTCTACAACGACAGATAGGGCACCCCCATGGGCCTAGACGACACACAACTTGCCCATTGCGATGCCCAGGCGGTTCTCGCACCCCGCCGCTCTCAGGAGGAGCGGGTTGGCATGTACCTTGAGCGAAATAGGGGCCAGCTTCCACATATTCGGAAGAAAATTCTGAAGGAGTGGTGCGAGCAGCACAGCTCCAAGATGGTTTATTAGTATGATTTGAAGTATATTGCAAACTTGATTTCGCCTGACAAGATACGTGAGTGGAGGGGGATAGCAACAGTGAGGTCAGATTGACGCGTCGAGAAAAAGCGGCTCGAGGCTGAAAGACTGAAGCGCAGTGTGCCGTCGCATTGAACCTTAGAAAAAGGCGGTCGAAGAAATGGTACACGCGACAATGGGAGGAGTGGAAGCCATGTTGAGTCCTTGGTATCCGTGGTTGGCAATAGATTGGAATGATCCCCTGCGGACTGGGTAAGAGTAGAAACTTGCCCAATAGATGAAACCAGCATTGTGACCTGCTCTTTGAGATTACATTCGCTCTCATTTATCGTGAGGTGGTTTTCAATGTTTTTATCACCTTCCACCTGCCTCGTCTTTCGAGGCCGTCTTTCGAAGATGCTGAGCCAGGATCAAGAATAGCGGAAAGCGACGCTGCTGCGCCGGCAGACGATTGAAGATTGCTCGAGACCGAGTCTCCCATGCACACCGAGTTGGCCCCCAACGCGGATCCCTGCACAAAGGCTGGGGGAAGGCATGTCCCGGATGTCGGATACGGCCCCGGATGCGACTCTGCGGCCAGCGTCTTTCCTGTCGAGGGCCAGGAACGGAGTTTGTTCTCGAGGAAAGCACCATTGGGCTGGCATCAACAGCGCGACATCTGCACCAGTCCCAATAGAGCCCGCCAGTCTTCACCGAGAGCATAATCGAAACACACCGGCAGCTGAGCAGTCCATTCCAGCATCCAGCTTCGATGGTCGAAATGGCGTCAGAAATTCAAGAAGCAAACATTGCTCCCACCTCTGGTGCAGTCATCCTGCGAGCTGTCAGGGGGAATACTTGCCATGATTCCGACGCAGACCCCGGCAAAACCTGCCTGCGCCTCGCAGACTATCGATCGAAATGTGAAGCTACCCGTGAGAAGTCATGATGCGATATGAAAAATGATAACCCGAGATGAGTCCATCGGCTTTCATGCAAGTCGGGCCTTTGAGACCGCATCCGGACGTGCTTCCACGGTGAGCAGCACACCGTCGAGCGCAGATCCCCAGAGCGCGCGATCTGGTTGCCCATTCACCGAGTGTGACATGGTGATGTCTGTGTTACGTCGGCCGAAAACGCCTCTTCACCGAGGCGCCCGGCAGTGAAATGGCAAACGGCGGAGGGTTCAATCGTTTCAGGCCGGAGGGACAGGTCATGTGTCATCTCAAGTTGGGGGGATGACCGCCGATAAGGCCATCAATGACGTGCGCTATGATGGAAACGGGTAGACGGAGCCTAAAAATGTTAAAATGGACTTCAACCTACGATATCCGTGTCAGTGTTATTTCCAGCTGACAGCCTGCGGAGATCCCTGAGGGCCGCGGTCGCACCAACCGAATGCCTCGAAGCGCGGGACGCGTGGAGATGCCATAAATTCTGTCGGGTCGCACGCGGAGAATACGGCGCGAGCCCGCGCCTGTACCACCGGCTTTCCTACCTTTGAGGAAGCAAACAAACGCCATCAGATAAGGGGTAGGGGTGGTCATGGGCATCTCTCGGCCCCGGCTTCTCTCGGCCAGCATCGCTGTCGCTTCGACGTTCAATGGTGTGGTATGCTGACGTGGCACATGAGAGGCTCCCATGACGTCGATAAATGGAGGAGGCATGGCCTCAACGTTCAACATGGACAATAATATTGTCGAGGGCAGAATGCGATTTTGCCCCTGGCCTCAAATGGGCAGACTGGCTGCCAATGAGGGGTCCACCCACTCCCCGCGGATGACAGCCTGCAGCACCCGGATCCTACCAACCATCTTATCTCACCGCTCGGCGGCGCTCGGCGCTCGCCCACATTACCGGATAGAGCCTTGGTGGCAACGGCTCCATGGCCTCAAAGACCCAAGGATGGCCTCCTCCCGAGGCCCCGGGCAGGCCCGTTCCTTTGGTGTTGGCGCCTCAGTCAAGCCGTCCAGGGTCGAGAGGAAATACCCTAGCACAACTCTTTGCTTTTTCCCCTTGAGAAAAGTCGATCCGGTCACCCGTCAAGTGCCCCGTTGGCAGCCGGGGAGCAGTTCCGGAAAGCTTAATGGAATGCAAGTCGCAAATGATAGGCGGGGATGCTCTCCGCGAGTTCGTGGCCAAGCACGTGGAAGCCTGCCGGCGAAGGGGGGGATCGAGTGCAAGTGCTTCGCATTTGCCCAATTGGTGATGGGCGCGTGTCTATAGCAAAGCGAGAAACAGCTGTTCCAACCGCCCAACCACGGACTCTACCGGTCACGAAGCCACATTGCCGGTGAGCTGGAGACCCCGTCTTATTTGCCTGCGTGGGCTCCGGAGTCTTGAACATGCTTCCCCATGTATGTTCTCGAACGATATTGCAGTTGCGTGTCGTTGCCTCGGCCCGCGACCAATGGGAAGCTTGCCGGCATATTCCCTCGAGGCCATGCCTGTTGCTGATCTCTGAGGCTGCACCTCCTTACTTTGACTTGAGGCCATGGCACGTTCGTGCGACTACCCTCCGCCCGATTTGGGAATGCCGGCCGAGATTGCTTTCGAAGACACGATGATGGTCTTGGTGTTTGGGGGGGGAAGCTGCCAACATAAGTATTGCCGTCGGTCCCGGATGCTCTCATCACTGGGCTCCCACCTTTTCCTTTCAACGCGCAGACAATCGCGGCCTTGCCTCTACCCTGCTCTATCGTATCAGCGACCTTCAACTTGCGGTGTTCTGCCTTCCACTCCACGTACAGAGTCTCGCTTGCTCCAACATGCCGACGTCTCAGGTCTCGGGGGCTTCTCATGGCTCCTCCAACAAGAAGTAAGCTCCCTTCGTCCTGATGAAGCATCGCCGACAGATGTCTGACACTGCTTTCAGGTCCAAGACGGCTCGTGCAAAGGAATCAAAGTCCCGGGTAGACGATTACCTCGCGGAAGAGGGCAGCCTCTACGAGCGGATCCCCAATGACAGCAAGGCCAAAGACAGAACGAAGGCGTACAAAGATCGTGCTCGGGAGACAACCCGTGACGCTGATCGCCGTCTTGGTTCAAGATAAACTTGATTGGCGGTGAACGTCAAGACGATGGGCAGATGCTCGAGTCGGTCGTAGCCAACGGACATGGGGATAGAGCAACGGTCGGTACGGCGAGGAGTTTGGCTGCGTTTGGGGATTAGCGATTGATTTGAAAGAAATGTCCGCGAGGATTGAGGGAAGTCACGGCTTTCTCGTAACATGCAGTTGCACGTACATGCGGCAAGAGCAGTCTGGGGCCTGCCTTCTTGGCACAGACTGCACTTGCAGCAGCAGTATATGTCCTACGTGGCTGTCGCATATGGACCGCATGAAGTAAGGGAGGTTTTTGAAGCGTTTTTTTAGTGAATTGAATTGATTGGAGGTCTTGTTAGTGTTGGGTTGATGTTTATTGAAAGTATCCTCAATCGACTGATGTGACGGAAGCTCTTCACGGGATGCTCACTCGATTGAGATGCGGTGCAGAGATCCAGTGGCTTCGAGCTTGCAGTTGCCTATGGGTCAATGAGACCTCTATAGCAAGCGCATCGATACGACAGTAATTGTGGTCCTCTTCGTGCGGCTTGCATGTGTAGCTGGGCGTCTTACGGCGCTGCCATGTTGGTGCGCCATCCGATCAAAGTACCGTCGTCTCTCGTCATGTGACAGATGTCATCCGTACCCGCAAGGCACTTGCAAATCCGTATCTAGGGATGTATCGATTCATCTCGAGATCCGAGATGAGGCTGCTGGTCCCAAGATGCAACGGCCCTCGGATGGGTAGTGACCCTAGAAGAGGAGAGTTCCCGGGCAAACGGGGACTCCACCGACCTGCCGTCGAAATAAGAATCGCACCGTCTCAAACCTCTCGAAACTCTCACCAAACTGTATTCAACCTAGTGTAGGTAGTCAAACCAACCCGTCATCCGATCACCGCATGCGCCGGAACCGGGAAGCTCAACGTCTGTGCGGTGCCACGGACACACCCGCCAACGAACCTCCACAGAGACTACAGGATCAGCCAAGAAAATGCACGCCCGACGTTACTTCTGTGCCGCGATATCGTCCCATGTTGACACAATACACAAGAGATGCGGTCTTTAGCCGTTGTGTGGATTACCCACCGGGGTCCTTGTGCTTCGGTTGCTGCGTTCCGAGAACATGGGTGAGACGGATGAATTCAGAATCCCTGCTGAGGGGAACGATTGGGCTGGGATCAACTGCGGCCCATCGCGGCCAGCCAAAGACGAACAATCAACCCATGGGCGCATGAACGGCTTAGCAAACTCTTCCATTCTTTGGCTGAATCCCATGTCTTTCAGCCATACAAAACATTCTTCCGACCACAATCGGGCCTTGATCGGTCCAGCCCTATAAGGCATGTCCCGATTCCCCCAGGATCCACCTGATGACGCTATCCAGGAGCCTCCTGTGGGACAGCTGGGGCCGCCTACGTTACAGAGCATATTAATCCCCGAACCCTTCCCACCATTCCGAGTCCACGTTGGTCTATCATGGTGGGGGTCTAAGACAAGGGGGGAAGGGACGGGGAGGTAGCCCAGGACCGACCATGGGTCTGGCCTCGTTCTCAGGTCTGGTAGATTTCTCCAGTCAGCCACAGCCTGGCCCGGCCACGAAAAGTGAAGAAAAGAGGGCAAGAACAAAAAAAAACGGTTGCGGCGGGCATGCTCGGTGGATTACCTGGGGCCGCGCGTGCTCCATACTTTGTCCCGCGTTTACGAAACCAATCACCCGGGATGCCTCTTGGCAGCTGTCAAGACGCGCGTGCGCTGGATACGTGCTGTCGTGGACCCGCGTCACCTCATCCAAGCGGACTGGTCGCCTGGAAGCGCGAAGTGACGTTGCGTATCCTTCTGGATATACGAAGTGCCGAGGAAGGGAAGCGACCGAGGAGGTGACGAAGCCGTGGGAGGCGGCCGCTCACTTGGGCTGCCGAGGATCCAGGAGTTTTCCTGGGGTTTTGGAGAAGAACTGGAGGTGCTGGGGTCCTAGGTTGGGGAAGACGGGGGTTGCGATGGTTGGGTGCACATCCCCCTTGCACAGATCTAGTACATCGCTCGGCAGTCTCGGGTGGTCACCGCAACGATCGCACAGCAAGTAACCGTAAATGACATAGAAACCGGTCCTTATTTTGTTAATTATGCAGGCCCAGCTGCACGGGCTAAGTAGCAACAATACATGCTCTTCCATAAATCATCGTCCCTCGCACATTACTCGCTCCGCCAAATGCGTTGGCCGTCTTGTAATCGAAGAAGTGGCCGGTGGAAGGTAAAAGTCGAAAGGTATTAGGTCGGTAAAGGTGTTGCACATGGCTGGTGGCGCACCGGTGAGGCATTAGGGCCGACAGGGCGTGATGGTTCGGGCCTATTGGGTTCGGGGGGCTTTTTGGACGGGCTTGTCTTCGACTGGTCTTTCGGCTGGTCTGTTGGATTCGAGGCGTGTGTACTGGTTGTCGTTATCGTTCATGAACATATCGAAGCGAGCCTGCCGAGAGGCCGCTTGATCGTTCGCGGTCGCTTGATTGTTCGAGGCCTGTCCAGACGCTGCACCGGTCCTGTTCCGTGTCAGTTACCATGCAAGCAAGACAAGACCGGGACATCAAGTCACTTACTGGCTGCCGGATTCAACAACCATTGAAGAAGTCTGAGACGACATGACTGCTAAACTTGGGTATCTTGGAATAACGATGAAGGGAGTTGGCAAGGTGGTCCAATGACGGGATGCAAGACCAGCTTGTGCACTTAAACAATGTTGACACGACGGGTATTGAAGGTGCAGCAAAACAAGAGAAGGGGAGTCGACTTTGATGAAGAAAGGGCGGCGGGTGAGGGCATCGTTCAGCAGTCCATGGCGACAGCGGTCCGATTTAAGTACCAAGGGGTTGGAAGAACCGGATGAAGAGAATCAGAAAAGGGCGGACCATTTTGGACGCCTTGCACCGTGATGTGCGGTGAAGGAAGAACGGGTGGGCGTGGGAGCAAGGTTGGGCGTGGGAATGGGACATATCGTCAACGCAAGGTACCTCTCTAACCGTCCGCGTGGGTTCTCAGGGAGGTAGATGCCGGCTGACAGGTACCAAGCGGTCGCTAGCGTTGACAATGATAACCCAAGATAAAAACAAATTGTATTTTCCTTGATGCGTCGGAAGCTCGGCCTCATGATTGTCTCCTGTACCTCTGATTTGACCATGGCGGTATGCACTCATTTCGCGTGCAGCAAAACCGGCAGACCAAAATAATACATGGCCGAAAGACAGGAACAGAAATATAAAACGGGGCGATCAGTTGGGCGGCGAAAAGTTTCATCAGATGCATGGTAATGCAAGGCACACACACCCTTTTCCCGCCATTTTGCATCTCCGTCATGACAAGGTGGAAATAGGGTGGTGGTGTGGGGAGCTCTCTGTACGGGCGTTCAGCTGGATTCTGGGCCGTCAGCGAGTGAGCTGGCAGGCCAAGGTGAGGTACATCAGAAACCAAATACGTAAGACATGCTCAGCGAGGAGGCTCTGACTTTCACAAGACTTGAAGAAAAATTTTCAACTCGGCATTATTGCACGAATTTCCCCAGATCTTCTCCTCTGCGGGCGTCGAGATGCACTAGGCCCCGAGAGGAGAAGAGGAAGCCGCGCGGGGTACATGAAGACTGAAAAATTTGCTGCACTTTCGTTTCTTCTTGTCTCGAGAATCTGGTCTGGATCTGCAGAGGAGCTGGGCAGCTGGAAAATCCGGCAGTATGTTTCCATCTGTTCGGTTCCTCGACGCTTGCGGTTCGTTAGCGGGAAGGAGCGTCAGCCAGGTTGGTCGGCCGATGTCGCCGCTGCATTCCAGTGGAATGCGTCTGGAGGCAAAACATGCGGCGAACAGCCTGATACGACTTCGACAACACAAGAGGCGGTTTCTCAAATTGAAGCCACTTGTTTCCAACCCCAAGCTACCGATGTCGTGCGTCGGAGGCGCACCTCATGGGCCAATGGACCCAATCTCGGCAATGTCCTCATAGGGCGATAGACAGGTGCAATTAGCGAAGGCACCGGTCGGTGAGCGGGACAGGATGTGAGCCTGAAGAACTCGCAGATCAAGGGCGGTGATGATGACAAGATCACGACGGACGTGGCTTGACGTTTGGGAATACGAGGTTTGAGCTACCCAGGACATCAGCGAGGCAGACTTGAAACAGCGGTGGTGTTCTGCTTGGGAAACCCAGGATCAGCAAGAACCCAGCCAGTCCTTGGTTCTAGCTGCTGGCCGTAGGGCTGTCGGACAGGTTCCAGGTTGCGACAACTTAAGCTCCCGCTGCCGCTCCCGCTGCCGCCTCCGACTGAATCTCCACGCCGGCGGACAATGGAAGACGGTGCAACGCTCTCAAACGGCCCCGTTGAGGCTTCTGGCCGGCGGCGGGGCCAAGAGATAAGGTTATCGCCGTAGGCGACTGACAAAAAACTTGCTCAGTTCTGCAACAGTCCGGAAGTACCGTCGCTCGCCAATACAAACCGGCCCATCAAAGCTCCAATTTTTCTCCTCTCAGCTTACTATTGGTGTTCTTCAATTGGCGTCGATTCGCAAGAGCCCCGCATCGCTTGTACCGACCGATGAATTGTATTTTATTGCAAGCGGGATAAACAGCGAGCAAAATAGACCAGACGCCATCCGGGTGCGCAATTGCAAGCAGGACCCTTAAAGAGAAGTTCGTTCCCGTCTGGCCCTTCGGTGCCGTTCAGCCGTTCTTACGTGAAGCGCGTAATTGTTTGTTTGTTTCCGCGAGCTCTGTTTCGTTCTTTTTTTCAGACGGCAAGATGGAGACCGAATCGTCCAAATGGACCTACCAGGTCAAAGGTAATTGACTGGCCTGCCGTGCTTCATGTTTGTAATCTAACATGCGATAGTAATGGTTCTTGGGGAAGACGCAAAGTCCAAAGAGGAGAGGCGACTGGTGCGGAAACTGGGTAATGGTTCCTCCCGTCTTTTGATGTTTTGCATATGCTGACAAGGACCGGGTTCCGTGACTTGCAGACCTTTTTGTGTTGGTATGTCTCCACATTGGCGATGGCGTCAAATGCAACGGAGCTGACCCAAGATAGACGTACTGCTGTTTCAGCTACTTCGTTAATTACCTTGGTAAGAAGAACGTGATTGATTCTTTGATTCAATTAGCTTATGGATGACCAGATCGCGCTGCCTTTGCCAATGCATACGTACGTATTTGCTCGCTGGTGAACGGGAGATTTCCTCACCATCATCAGGTCGCCGGTTTGAAGGAAGATATCGGACTTCACGGGTCACAGTACAATGTCTTGCTGTCAATGATGACTGCCGGGTTAGTAGTGCCACCCAAGATGCTGCCACCATGTTGCTGACGTGCCGTTAGATATGTCCTTGCCCAGATTCCACACGGTATCGCCATCCAAAAGATCGCGCCCCGCATTTGGCTCCCGTCGATGGTCCTGCTTTGGGCTGGCTTGACAATGTGCACTGCAGCCTGCAAGACGTATGAGCAGATGTGTGTTGTGCGCTTCTTCCAGGGTATGGCAGAGGCAAGCACATACTGCGGGACAATGTACATCATGGGGTCGTGGTAGTAAGTGTCTCCACTCAAACTGCATGGATGGGGCCGTATGCTAAATGGACAAAATATAGTAAGCCATTGGAGATTGCAAAGCGAACCGCTATTTTCACCGCTGTCGGCCAGGCAGGCAGTATGTTTGCCGGCGTCATGATGACTGCCGTGCACAAGAGCATGAACGGATACGGAGGGCTGCCAGGATGGAAATGGGTGTTCCTTATCGGTAAGTCGGGCGCGATCCCGGGCGATATCTGCTTTCTGTTAGCCAGGCTGGGTACTAAACGGGTGACAGACGGTATCATTACCCTGCCAGTTGCCGCTGCAGGCTTCGTCTGTTTCCCAGACATTCCCGAACAGACAAAGGCACACCTGTTCAGTCTCAAAGAAGACGACATCAAGCTGGCCATCAAGCGCCTGCCGCCCAAGAGGGAGGATGCGCATAACGTCTCGCCCTTATCGCTGGCCAAGCGTATTCTCGGCAAACCATACTTGTACGCCACCCTCCTTCCTTGCTCGCTTGCGCCTCTGCTGACAAGACAAGTTACGTCCTCGGAGTATTTTCGATTGTTACTGGCGCGCTCGAGGCCTTTTGTGTGCAATCGCTTTTCCTTCTTTGGATGAAGTTCCACAGCGACCGCTACACAAGCTCCCAGATCACAACGTACCCGCTGGGCGTACAGGCGGTCGCCATTGTGTCCAACATCGGTGCCGCCATCTACATGGATTCAACGGGTCACCGGCTGCCCATCGGGTTCTTGGCGTGCGGGCTGCAGTTGATCTCTGCGGTGCTTATCCTCATCCCCACGATTCCGGACGGGGCAACCTTTTTCGCGTACTACCTTGCGGGCACGAGCTATATGGTCAACCCGTTGTTGTTCGGCTGGGCCAACATTATTCTGAAGAGAAGCGGCGACGAGGCGGCCCGAAGCGTGTTGCTGTACTGGCTGAACGCCATCCAGAGCACTTTGTACACTTTCTGGGGCATTGCGCTGTACCCTGCGAACGAGGCGCCGTACTGGCGGAAGGGCGGAATCACCATGTGTGTGGTTGTCGTTTTGATGGCCGGCCTGATGTGGGCGATGAAGTGGCTGGACAGGAAGTCGCTTGCCGAGCAGCTTGTCGAGGATGGGGATAGCGCCGCGGAAGTGAGCAAAGCCTCGGATGCCGGGAGTCAGAAATGAGGCAGCCTGGACGGCGATCAACACAATGTCGAGAGGTGACAGGGAAGGGGTGGGATGGAGGCGTATACCAGACGGAAGAAAGCAACTAGCGTGAAGAGTCGGTCGGTTGAGAGAGGGAAAAAATTATCCGTTGGGGACATTGGTAATTTTCGGGAAGGATCGTGGGGGGGGAGGGGGGGGGCGCGACTTGAGGGTGGTTGGTGGCGTGTCCTGTCGAAGATAGTGATAGCCACTAGAGTCGCCAGCAGGCGGTGAAGAATAGAACCGGATTGTTCGGGCGATCGTCAGGCAATTTCTTTCCCTTCAAATTGACAGAAATGACGGGAAATGCTGAAGAGGGCGGGTTGTGAGCAGGCTGAGATGATGGATGAGCAGGAACGGTCGGAGGTGTACTGGCAGATCCCTGTCGGACCTCCTCGTTTGGTGGCTTCCGTCCCCTGGAAGGAACCATCCTGGTACAGGGGAGCCTGCCACTGAATCTACCTTAGATTGGCGGACCCTGCTAGCGGTGTCCACTCCGCCGTCTGTGCTTCCCGTCCGTCACCAACCCAATCAGGTAAGCTACCTTACCTTACCAGGCGGGCGGGGGAAACTGGGCCTGCCTTCCTTCTTCCACATCTGCCTTCACCCGCTGGGGCTTCCATCGTCACCGGCGACCGCTCCAGCCAAGAGAAACGGCAACACGAGAAGACGGTACGGTCTGGGTCAGAGACGGCAAAGACTCGAGCATTTGCGCAGTTCTTGTGCTCGGCATTGGCCCGTTGGCACACCCTGACCAGCCTAACCCCTGCCCTGACCGGTCTGTTGGGGCAGGTCCTCATGATGTTGTGTACCGAAGCTAAAGCACTCCACGCCTGATGCATGAATGTTTGCTTGTCGATATCGACCACGTCGCTTTGCTTCTTTCGAGCTCCATCGGTGGAACAGTTCATCCCAAGTGTGATGCAAATGCATCTTTCTGGCATTGCATCGGCAAGAGAAGCCGAGATCTCGACCAGACGGATATGTCCGACGGTCAACAACGCACTCTTGGAGCTGCTTTCGATACAGAAGGCGGTCAACAACTTCTCATTTCAAGAAAATGAGGCTGTCACCGGGTGGCGTAAGCTGTTATCTCGTAACTTGAAACGCGCCACTGGTCAGGCACCCTCGAACTACAAGTCTTCCATGGTTTGGAACTGTGTTCACCGCCAGACTGGTAAGATACGAGCCTGTCTCACGCTTTCTATGACTGCCCATGTGCTAAAAGTATCTCTCTCAGAGGCCCCTGTCGCGGATCAATACATTTTGGGACTGCATCTTTGCACGCCTCCCGTATGCTGACACATCTCCACGACCCGATGATTAACCCCTGGCCTCAAAATTCTAGTTCATTTCTCAGCTGTCAGTCTTCTCTTTTTCCGAAAAAGAAATGCAGAGTGTCTTTTGAGACGCGAGCATTTCACGGTCACACACATCTGCAGATCGCGGGGGAGGCACGGCAGGCTCTGACCCCATCGCTCGATCAAAATTGAGGCCAGCCTAACTTAGCAATGTACAGAAATGAAGCACATTCGGAGAAATTATTCAGCCATTCGCAAATTGACCTTCTTCACCGCCAGGATGAAGACTGCAGGATCGGTCTGCAGTGGCACGAAGGTCTGCACGATCAGGAGTGGTATCTGCGGGTACCGATAGGGAAGTCTCGCGGGCTTCGGTCTTCGGTTCCTTGACCTGCTGCAGTCTCCTACAAGGTAAGGAAATCACAATCGCTGACACCGCCCTATCATATCATGCGACCATTACACCATGCCGAGGGCTATCGGTGGATGTGTTATCATTTCTCTGAGCTGCCCCGCGTGAGAGGCACAGTTTCCCCACTTGCTCTTCCCAAACCAGTCTCCTGCGTTCACCTTTCTTTTTTTGCCTCTTCAAGCTTGTGAATTCTTCAGACCGCCTCTTCAGCGGATTCTGGCATGCAAGATCACGCCGGCGGTGCGCCTCTCCGTCATGGCGAAGCCGATGAGGCAGGGTTAGACGCCATCCTCACTGGGAATGCCGCCTTGCAGAGCAACCTGCCTGTCGCAGGAGCTTGGCCTCATGTACAGGCTTGGATTTCGACGTACATGTATGATGATGCTGCTACTGATCGACTACTGTACACCGCTCCAGGGGACGTCATGCACTATTTCCGGGGGCCTTGTTTAGGAGCACAGTTGCTGCGAGCTTTTGGGATGATGATCGCCTTACCTTCGGATGTGATCCGAAGTGAGGGGCTCCTCAGTCAGCCTGCTATTGCTTCATAGACTTCTGGGCTGTTCACGCCGTCTTTTCTAACGCAACCGGACCTTCTTGGAGGCTGTGCCTGCTAGCTTATGCCGCTGCTAACCCCACTGTTGGTTGTGGATGTCTGGCCGGGTGATTGCCAGAAACACTGGAATCAAGGCAGTGACCACTAGATATTGAGTTACGAGAATTTCACTGACATGCTTGGTTTACGCTGCAGCGTTCAACTTAACTCATAATCGTTTCGCAATGGAGAGCTCAAAAGTGTCAAGCTGAAGTGGATTGCAATTCAGAACAAAGATGTACGGGATAGGACTGTGTAAAGGCTCTACACGAAGCCATTGTCTTCCATCTGTAACCTTAACAAACAATGCCTTCTTCGGTCACAGTCCATTCTGTTCAAAGTTTGACAGACTATCTTAAAACAATGTTTTTCAGACGTTTTCATTGTTCAGAACTGTCGCAAGTCGCCAAGTCGATACATAAGACATGACAACCACTTGTCCATCATCTTCTCGACTAATCGAGACTGAAACAGCATTACTATCATACTTACAACTTCAACCACAGATAAATTAATCAAAACGAGAACACAACCGACAAGATGCCTCCTCATCAGTACAGACACCAGTTCAACGACACATATCCTGCAGCACCGGTCAAGGAGGACTGCAGCGCTCTGGACAGCGACCTCCTCGTCGGGGTCGTCATCCCTCCCTTCTTTGCCATGGGTTTCCTTGTATCTCTGGTGATAACTCTTTGGAACCGCTGGACATACATCACTCGAACCAAGAAGTTGGAGGAAGAGAATCGCCGCCTCAGGGTCAAGAACCAACTGAACGAGTATTGGCACGGCCCCATCTCCGACGATCTTGTCGATGCCGAGCTGAAGGATCCCGGCAGCCACACGGGCGGGGCCAAGCGACCTGAAAGTGGGAGCGATCACGTTCGCGATGTCGATCGGGATGGTGGTACCCAGTCCAGGCTTGCCACGTACGATGACGCGGGCTTCTATGTGTCTGGTGGCCGAGACGGAGCTGAACAAGAGGAGTCTGAGGAGTCCCGCGAGCGTTCTCGCGACCTGAGCACCATAGCCGAGGAAACAGAGGTGTCTGCTGATGCGGTGCTTAGGAGCATACCTGATGAACTAGACCACCGCTTCGCAGGTGGGAGCGACTCTGATGAGGACGAATGGGAAAGAGCCGAGCCAGACTACATGGCAGGCGGCGGAGAGTCCTCGATTCCTCTGGAACCATTGAAAAGAGGTGGGTCCTCCAAGCAAGACAACTCCTTCAGACAAGGCAAATCTTCCCAGCAGGTCGCATCTTCCAGCAAATACGAATTTAACAGCCAAGTCGGGTCTTCTCCTAGCTCAGTCGATTCTTCCCCTGGCCGTGGCAGGTTTTCTCCCAGCCCAGTCGAGTCTCCTACCCAAGGCCAGTTTCCTAGACAGGACGCATCTTCCATGCAAGGTGAGTCCTCTGCACAAGACGGGCCGTATCGACGAGGCTAATCTCTCCCAGAAGGCGAGTCCTTGCGGCAAGAGGGTGAGTATTCGGCACCGGGCGAAGGCCGAGAGGAGTCTTCAAGTGAGCCAAAACCACGAGAAAGGTGGAAGCCTATAGCGAAATCAACGCGTCCCTACAAGTCCAGATTCGTTGAACACTTGGACGACGTCACTATTCCCGTAGACACTTTCCTTCTCGATGACATTCTCTTTCCCGACCCCTTGATCGGTGACGACAAGCAAGATTCCCCACATGACGCTCAAGAGCAGAATGAGCATCGCCCCCGTAGGAATTAGGTTTTCCTCCGGACGTGGTTTTGCCGGAAGCTTCGAGCAAGTGGAGACGCACGATGAATTCTTGACAGCGGTGAACCTGGGTTGCGAGTCACAGGCGTCGAGGCCAGTGAGGCAGGCTTGAATACATAGAGAAATCAATTGGAAATGTTCATAGAAATTTTGTTCATTTTTTCTGCCATGATCATGCAATTCGTTTCATTTACTATTGGTTTGAGACCACGTCGTTGATGTGTTGTAAAGAATATGAGATGATGTGCGTTCCCATCGAGTCGATTAATAACTTTGACAAATATCATGATAGAAGGCGATGCATCGTTTCTCATCCAGAGCGGCGCTATTTGCGTTGCTCTTCAGGCACTCAACTATCAAGCTCTTAGCTGTGTTGACCGCAAAACATCCTGTCCGGCCTCGTTTGGTGTGATGAAGTCTCAGATTGTCTGGAACCAACTTGGTCCTAGTGAGCCGAACACCTTCGAAATACAATAAAGCCAGCATATTTGAAAAAGTAACAACAACTTGTCTCCCTTCACTAAACGAAATAATGCAATATCTTTGATCATCCTTCAAAGTCGCGGTACCAGTGTCACCAATGAACCCAGGCTTGCCATCTTTGCTGCTCCGGCTAGCAAAGGTTGAAAGCTGGAACGATGGATGCAGGTAACAATGGAGGCACCCCATAATGACAAGGAACCAGAACAATGAACAAAGACAAGGGATCTTGATTACCACCGATGAGATTGATCTTGAGGCCCAATCCAAAGACTCGAAAGCTGTCAGCGCCGTGTTTATCAGATCAAAGCTTTGTCAAGGGAAGGCTTGTTCAATGATAATGAACAATGCTCCTGTCTGTCTAACACTCTCAATGTAGCTCATCTAATTGACATCTACATATCCTTGCCTTCCATCTATCTCCAGAACTATTCTCATCATCACACCGCATCAATCCAACTCTCATATCAGAGGCAAGTCTTCCTTCCCCTTTTCCATCACTGACTTCCCATCAGAGACAGGCAGAACAATCCTGCAGTCAGCGCATCGCTCTATTCGAAACCCGCAACTGAAACCTTTCGTATGCCCTTAATCTCTCTGTTTGCCTCAAGGTGAGTCTTCCCTTCTCCGACTGACAGAGCACAGTACTTCAAATGCATGTTTCCTCCATGAGGTGAGTCTCCCCCTTCTTCAAAGCTGAAGCAAGTTCTAGAAATCAGATCTCTAGTGTCGTCATTACCAATTGACCAGGTAAGCCTTTCCTCATCCCCTCTGAGCAGCTAACCCATCTACCAGAGAACCTTCAAAGCCGCCCTCGTCCCTACTTTGAAGAGTACCGTATTCCCGTGAGTCTTCCTTCATCTGCCTTCTTTGAGCAACTGACCCTAGGCGTTCCTCAATCCTTGAAATCCTTCTCTATGGCAACGAGTCTTCTTATTCTTCATTCGTAAGTCCCATCCACCTTTGTGCTAACTGCAGGTCCATCGATGATCAAAAGCCTCCTCTTCTTCGTTCCATCTAAGTCTGTAAGTGCCTCCCCTGCTCGTAGATTGCTAACTCTGCAAGACCTCTCGACTTTTGCCCCAGACAGATGCGACTACGTTGCCGGACCAGGTATGTTCCCCCGCCTCATCTCTGTTGCTAAAAATCATCACCAGCGAACGGATAGACTCAATATCCTCCAACGCCATCAACGATCGTGAACCCGTGATCGACATGCAGGTATCTGCTCACCCCAGAACCGACATGCTGACGCTTAGGTAAAAGAGTTGAGTATTTACAAAGCTACCCGCGACGATCTCATCCATAGCGAATAGGCGAACCGACCATGGCCATCCTCCCACGCCGAATACCGGTGCGTGATCCTCCCTGAATCAATAAGCTAACGCAATAGATCATTTACGACACTACCTTTCTGCCTCGTCTAGCCACCGAGTTCTCGCGAGAGCCGCGCATGCCGATGCCGCGATGAAGGAGACATAAGCCGAATCGCCCTAACATCCGACGACGAATCGCGGCCGGCCGATGTTTATACCGAGCGAATAAGGTGATGATGGGAGTCATGAGGTGTTGGGATGATGAGAGTGGGGAAAGGAGGAACATCTGAGTGGTATTTTTGGGGTCATCTACGAGGAAATGCAGTAATCAATGATGGATAAGGTCTGGATCTTTGATACAAGGCTTCGTATATTCCCAGTGAATTGAAGTGATATCGGATACGTAACGCCCTAATAACAAGCGCCGATTATCAACCCGAGGCCGTCTCTTCCATTAGTCGTCTCATCGTTTAGAAAAACTTGCTCTTGAGCCCTCCCAGCACAACATTCCGCTTCTGCTTGTTGATGTACTTGCCAACGTCGTCTGCCCAGCCTGCACTCTGGTTCTGCAGGTTGTCCATGTTATCGCTCATGATGTTGAGCTTCTCAGTCCGCTCATTGAGTTGTCTAGTGAGGTAATCACCCCAGCCCTCCTGCGCACCTCCAGCGCTTGGCCCTGCAGCTGTTTGGCCTGAGCGTGCAGCCCTAGCCTCTGCCGCCGCCGCCTGGATCATGCGTCTGCTGGGCGGGCGATCAGGGGCGATGAGAAGATCAAGGTCCGTCGGCGAGATGTACTGCGTGCCCGACAACCACTGCATGTTAGAAATGGTAGGGCGAGGCGGCGTGATGAGCTCGGGGTTGATGAGAACGTCCGCGCTGACGGGAAGATCCTTCGCAGTACCCCACACGCTTAGGACTGCAATTTCAGATGGGCCAGTCCAGCCAAAGACATCGCCGGTCTGTGTCACCACGGCGGCGGTGCTGCGACTGCTGTCCAGCATGGGAAGCTGAGCCCTTCCAATTTCCTTCAGTCCCGGGATGGAGAACGCGCGGGTTGTCCTGTCGCCAAAGACGCCTACAATGGCGAAGCCGTGGAGCTCGAATTCGGTGACGTTTGCTGCGTCACAGAGGATGTCATCAAAGGATTTAGAGGCTCCCTTGGCTCCTGCGGGTTTGAAGACGCGAATCTCGGTTTGCGTCACTGTTCTTTGTTAGTAATTGTATCTCAAAGGATCAAATAGACTTACCAGCAATCAAGACACCGTTCACCTGCTGTCCGTTCCTGAGGCCTGCAACAATGGGACCAGTCGCAAATGCAGGCTTGCCAGAGTCCGCAACAATAGGGCAGAGAGCCACAACCTTGCCGTCAAACTGCTGAGCTCCGGCGAGAGTTACCGAGTAGCTGTTGCCGGAGGGCAGAATCTTGAACGTGGCCACCCTTCCTGTGTTGGTGCCAACGAAGCAGCAGATGCTGGAGTAGTTGTCGCCCTCTAGTGTCATGACACTGAACTCAATGGCAACCGGCCACTCCTTTCCGCTGGGCTGACTATGACCCTTCAAGAACGAGGCTCTCTTCTCACGCTTGGCGAATTCCGACATAGACATTTGGTAGATGACTGACGGTCCTCTCAAGTCGATAATGCTGAAGAAGCCGCCTTCAGAGCCAACAGCCACAAAGCCGACATCTGACACGCTGACGGCCGAAATTGGTCCTTGCATCATCTCGTACAACTGCCACGGCTGCAAGCCCTCTTTGAGAGACGGCTCCGCTCTGGAGCTGATGTCAGTGAGGCCACCGGGGTTGGCAGCAATGTCCTCGTGGTGATCCTTTCCATGGAACCTGTTGCCAGCCCATCTGTAAATCACCAGCTCACCGTTGCGCGTGCCAACAGCGAATTCGCCAGTGTTGGGAGCCATGTGCATGGAGGTAATATCAACATCCTCGTAACGATCGAGCGAGCGAGCAACGTCGACTTGAAGCATGGTAGGGTTCTCAATCTCATCGTCGTGACCGGCATCCCAGAGACGGACCGTGCTGTCGCCGTGGGCGATCTGGAAAATGGTACGTCCTTCGTATCGGCGCTTCGGCTTGGCAGCTGCGGCGCCGCCCTTAAGCAGTGGTTCGCCCTGATTTCTGGTCTCGACCATGCCGAGCCAGCGGCCCCGGTCGACGGTCTGCACGGCGAATCTGTTGACATACGGGTGGACGAAAGAGACAGAGGGGTGAAGCTGGTTTGTTGGACTGATTGGGTATCCCGAGGGGAAACTCATGGTGAGTAGCTCGCCAGAAGTGAGCAGGGTCAACACCGCAATGGGATCCTGTGCGCCAGCAAAGTACGGCGAAAGACGGGGAATGAGTAGGAAGTTAGCGACCTGAGCCCCTGAGGGTGTCGGCAAGGAGATGTTTCTCTTTCCTCGCAAATGGTCTTCGAGAACCTGCCATGTCGAAGTTGCGTAGACGGGGGTCTGTCCCAGCTCGATGAATGTCAGGCTCTTTTGCGGATTCTCCGGGCTGTGGCCACCTGCGATGAGAATTCCGGTGTCGTCCGGGTTGTCCTTGCAGCACCATGCGATCTTGGCATATGGCTCTCTGAAGCCAACATGTCCCGCGTTAGGTGAAGGCTGATCGATCTTGAACTCGTCCAATGTCCTGGCCATGACAACACGGCCATCCTTCGGGTCCCAAAACACCATGCTTCCATCATCATGGGCCGTCATAATGAAGGTACCAGTGGGGTGCCACAGAGCGTGAGAAAGCCTCGGCCGGCGGACCGTATCAGGTGGCTCTCCACCGCCGCCAGGCGCGCCTGGTTGAAGAACATATTCCAAGAACTGAGTGGGCTTGTTTTGCTTGAAAGAGTACACGACCACTCCCGTGGTGTAGGCGATGAGCAGTTTGCCAATGTCCCTAGGGTGAAGCGCAATGCTCACCAACCCAACGACACGGGCTTTCGGGTCCTTCTCCTTCCAGAAGTTCGGCAGTCTGAAAGACTTTGTGATGTTCTCCCTGTCAAGGTCGTATGCCAAGATCTCTCCCGTAGCCAGTCCGATGAAGGCCCAGTCGAGCAAGGGGTCGGTGATGAGGCAGGCGACATGGCCGGGACAGACAATACCGGCGACTCGCTTGGCGGTATCGAGATCCCATATTCCCAGCTCGTTCTTGGCATCGAGGGAAACCAGTCGGTTGGCGGTGAAGTGGAGGGAGCGGAAGGATGTGCGCCTTGGCGGCTCGATGGTCTTTTGGACTCGGTTTTGGCCGAAGACGAAGATTTTACCGGGGCCAAACTTGGATTCGTTCGTTCCGATGGCGAGAAGCGACTGGATTGGATCGTAAGCTAGGCAGCTGCGTGTCTGTTAGCATTGCAGAGTCCGTTGCGCATCTCGAAATGCCATGGAATGACGCGCGTCAACGTGGGGTAGCTACTGACCTGACCTGCGAGTTGATGCCGTAGGCAGACTGGTAGTCGGGGGCAAAGAGCTCGGGGAGGATGGACGCAGACAGGTCATTCTGTATGCCTGTCTGCTTTCCTCGGAGAAAGGCGGCCATGGTGTGAGAGAGCGGTGCAAGTTGGATCTGGAGATGTTGGAGGGAAGCCCGAGGAGCTTTGGGGTGGTCCCGTACTTTTTAGTTGGGTAAGGCGGCCGAACTTCCGCTTGGCGGGGTGCTCAGTGGTCCAAGTCCCTGCATTGCAGGAGCAACCGGGACTAACGTCATAAGGTTACGATTTAGTCAGTGCAGAGATCCAAGCTCCACTTATGCACGTGATGTTTATGAAAGTTGTGCATGCATCTCAATCTCATCTCACCCCTCAATTTGAGATGTCTTCAACGGCTCACCCGTCCGGTGCTACCAAACAGCCCAGGAGGCTATGAGAGACAAAGATGAATGCAATCGCAACTTTGACCTCAAGGCCGAGTGGTTGTCGACACCGGAAGGGATAAGAGTCTCTTAAGATCACTCTCAGTTTATGAGCTCAATCGCAAGAGCCAAGCATAGTCAACTAATGGCTTGAAAACTCAAACTCGCATCCCCTCACTTCTTGATCTGTTACTTTCCAGTCCTCAGGCTTCGGAGTTGCTTGTGCTCAAATCGACTCTTCACTGATCTTCTCATCGAATCATACAGGAAGCGCGACATGATGAAATCATAGAGACAGACGACTTTTCTTGGAGCTTTTCTACGGCAATTGCCGGTAGACGTTTATTAAGTCTAAGATTTACAGATGAAAGTCTACTCTGGAGTTAAATTAAGGGTATCTGTTGCCGATGCTCGGCGCTTGGAAAGCAATGGCTATGCAATTTTTGTCTCTTTCCAGACAGGCGATTTTAAACAGATCCGGCAACGGTGCCCTCCTCGGCACGCTTCTCCTCGTTGTGTCCATGGACGGGGATGGCGCTGGTGGCACTGTGAAAATCAGCAGGGATTCATGAGAAAACAGTGGACAGCAAACTTACAGGTCATCCTCTCCGGAAAGCTCCTCAAGAGTCTTGCGAGCAGTCTCGGGAATCAACCAAGAGGTACAGAAACCGAGAAGCATGAACAGAGCAAAGATCTGCATGATGTGGTTCAACCACGGGGTGCTCCATCTCGGGTCAGTCTTGGCGAGCGTCGAGTTGGCGCCGATGGTGCGGAGAGGACCGAAGACGACCTGAGCAATGATGGCACCGATCTTTCCGGAAGCAGCAGAGATACCGTGGGAGGTAGAGCGGTAGCGAGTGGGGAAGCACTCTCCGGGAACGATGAAGGTCGTGGAGTTGGGGCCGGCGTTGAAGAAGAACTGAGCCAGGGTGTACAGGGCCATCAGAGCACCACCGGAAAGGTTCCAGAAGTCAAATCCGATAACGCAGAAGAGGAGCGTCTGTTTCTCTCGTTAGAAAAGCGGGGTGGTAAGAGTTTCAGATTTGACTTACAAGAGCAAAGAAACCAAACAGCTGGATGGGCTTGCGGCCGATCGTGTCGATCAAGGCAGCGGAAACCCAGTATCCAGGAACAGCTCCGGCCAGAACCAAGATGAGGTTGCCAACAGCGGTACGGTAGAACGAGTGGTACATGTCCGCGCCGCCGGCTGAAGCCATCGTCAGTTCTAAATCACCTAAACCCCAAGACCATTTGAGACTTACACCATCCGATAGCGTTGAGAATGATGGCATTGTTCAAGCCAAGACCGTAAAATGCGACGTCAAGCATGAACTAAAACGAGTTAGTTTCGTGTTGTGGTGATGAGAAGACGTTTTGGGATGTGATAAGGGTGGCGGTTGAGTTGGGAACCAACAACACAACACCAACGCCACTTCTTTCACACCACCAAAACATCTGAAATGAGAGCTGAACATACCCAGGAACCAGCAGTACCAAGAAGAACCTTTCCGTTCTTCCAGTGGCTGTAGTGACGGAAGAAGTCAGACCACGAGGCCTTGGGGACCTCAAGCTCCTGCTTGGCCTGCGCACGAGCAGCGACGCGGGCAGCCTCATCAACTTCGGCCTCACCCCACTTTCCTTGCTTGTAGTAATCGACGTCACCCTCGGCCTTCTGAACATCGTTGTCGACATCGAAAGTGTAACGGGGGGTCTCGGGGATGGTGAGGCGGAAGTAGAGAGCCAGGCAGCCGGGAACAGCGCCAAAGCCAATCTGGAACATGTTAGCTGATCATTCTTTACATCTTGGTTGATTCAATTTGTTTTGGAGTTGCTACGCAAAGACCCGCAACAAAATGAGTCAAGAGGTGATCGGATGCAAGACACTTACCATGGTACGCCACATCTTGTCAACGGCGATCAAGCAAGGCTCAGTAGTAGCGCAAGTAGCAGCCTTGGTAGCAGTGGACAGAGAGCCCTTGAAACCAGCGGTGACGATGAGCATCATCAAGCCACCGGCAAGCTGGCCGAAACCCTGGTTGGCGAAGACGGCATTCATCATGAATCCTCTCCACTTGGTAGTGGCGAACTCAGAAGTAATGATAGCGGAAAGGGGGTAGTCACCACCGATACCGACACCCATGATGATACGCCAGAAAACCATGAGACCGGTAATGGAGACTGAGGGAGAGCCGCTGGAGAGAGCTTGGGCGATGGTCGCGAAGATGATGATGATAAGCTCAACGCCATACATCTTCTTACGGCCGACGATGTCAGCGAGAATACCGAATCCCAGTTGTCCGACGACAGTTCCGGCACTGGTTGCAACCTTGATCGCAGTGTCGTTCTCCGCGGGGAGGGTGCCGCCGTAGTACACGATGCCCAACATGCTCGTGACGAGACCAATGGTGAAGATATCGTACTAGGTCTAAGTCAGCATTGGTTTTCTCTCATAAGCAATGCAAATACATACCGAATCAGTGAAGAAACCAATACCGGCAACAATGATAGCGCGGACATGGTACCAGCCGAAGGGGGCCTTGTCGATCTCGGCGAGCGCAAGACGGCGACGCTCGTTGGCATCGGCGACGTGAGCGAAGTCGTTGTTGAAGTTGTGGAAAGCCGCGTTGCCTCCGGAGGTCTTGTTGTTCTTGACCTCAGCCGAAGTCAGCTCGCTGGTGGTGACGGCGCCGTCCGCCGCGGCGTTGTTAGGTTGGATAACGCCGGCCATGATGTCGATCTCCTCTGAGCCCCGGATGAAACGATCGGCAAGGTTCGGAGAGAGAGGGTTCGGAGACTCTGGGTTACCTGCTGGGAAGGATGAGGAGCGCGAGGACAGAGAAACTCAAATGCGCAGCGGCCGGGGAGGACTTTGGCTTATATGGCTGGGCCGGGCGCGGACAAGGACTACATGCCATCTGAGCTGAAGGGTCTCGCAGCGTCGCATGCATGGAGAACGAACACCTTCAGCGGAGATGCGACGGACCAGGGAGACGAGTAGACATGGTTCGAGATCAGCCTCCACCTCGGAGACTACGTCCTAGCGTGGAAGACTAGGGAGGAATTGTACCGCGTAAGGCGAGTGACAAGGGACGAAGCTGCACACGAGTATCCCACTCGTGTCCTCGGCGGGCCATGTCAGACAAGATAAAGCGAGCCCCGTTGGCGTGGGTTGGGACACAAGACGGGGGCCACGCGGGATGCTGCTTGGTAGTAGCTGGCACCAACAGACTGGAGACGCCGGACGACGACTAACACCGTCCAGAGTCAAACAGGGATCTTTGCTGCCCACGACATGTGTGTGGAGCCGTGCTCGGCGATCGATTGGGGATAGCGTATGTTTTTCACTTTTTTCCCAGACTTCGTCCCCTCGTCTCTTCTTGGGCTGAATCTCAGACAACGCTTCCCGACTGGCTGCCGCCCTTTTCACTTTTGCCTCTGACACCGGCAACGCTGCGCTCAAACAGCAGAAACGGCCAGTTCGGGAATCATGGGAATAACTATTTCCCAGCGACGGAAGAGAGCGAAATCAACACAACTTACGCTCAGAGTTGGAGCGGCCCGCTCACGTCAAGTTGAGTTGAAGCCAATGGGAACGCTCGCAGAGACAACATGGGCTTAACATGGGATGCCGGGGTGCATGTCGCGCGCGTCGGCGACCCGCGCAGTACCGCCCTAACAATTTCCGATGTTGTATGCTGAGCCCAGGTTGTCCTGGCACAGCATCATCCTACAGGATCGAGGGCAACACAGCCAGCACTCGGTCAAGCTTTTTGGCAAACTCGCGAATGTTCTTGGCGACGGCAGATCGGTCTTGGCTTCGATTCATCGCCCAACTGGCACCTTGGCGCTCATCCAGTTCATCCTAGATACAGAAACACCACATCGGCTCGAGTTGGCTCGTAACTACGAGACGCGGGCTCGGCGTATTGGCTTGAATGGGTCAATATCTACAATTCAAGGGAGCCTATCAGAAGAATGCAATTGCGCATACACTTCGTCGCAGGCAAATCATCGTCGCAAGTCGGGCAACGACCATGCTGGGTCCGGCCGCCCTTAACCTCTTTCATCTACCGAGCGACCAGGACAGGCGACCAAAAAGAGAGGTACAGCGGCCTGACTGACAGACATGTCCCTTCGCGCCGCAGGTACAATTCAGATGCCGTCAGGCTGGATTCTGCCGACTCTTCCGTGGGGACAGCCGGGGGAAGCTCAAGACGCTCCCGGACTGGGCGGGCCAATCACGGCGCCGAATTGGAGCACGTTGCGACGGCGCTGCTAGATCAGCAACAACGGCCGGTCTCATAGCCTCGATAACATACAGCAACTCTTCCTCTGGTCAAAATCGACCAACTTCAAGCGCAATTCGAGGCTTCACGACGTTGAAATGTTGTTGAACGTCATTCCAGTGCGGCTCTCAAACCCTGCTGGAACTCCCGCTGGCTCCCGCTACTTGGCACTTGGCATCGCGGGCTTTTTACCACTGAAGACGCAATGATGCGATCGCCAAGAGGGAGGCCAAGCCCTGGGGTATGCAGCCGGTGACACCCGTCTTGGAAAGTCGATATTGAAGATAACGCAGCTGTCGCGTGCCTTTTGACTCTATGCGGACTGCTCGCTCCGCTCGGTTGCACTGTAACACCCACGTGCCTTGTCGGCGCTCCCTGTTGGCAGGCTGAAATTCTTCTGGTTTAATGAATAGTTCATGTATGACGCGCGCGCGCTGGTTACATGCGCGTCGTCTCATTCCGGCCCTCTGGAAAGGTATCCTTGCGTATAAGAGTCTTTGCGAGCTAAGGTGCTATTGACGACGATTCTATCGATCATCCGATCGGGATCAACCTGATCACCTTTCAAAGAGACTTTGGCCGTCATATCGGCGTCATTCACGTCACGGAAACTCACATGAAGAGACTTTCCGCCGTCGGCAACGGCAACATTTTGCAGCCATCGCCACACACATCTCATGATGTCTGAGGGCTCCCACCAACTCATGTCAGATTGTTAAAGCGTTACCAACACTGAATCCACCAAAAGACCCCTCTCGACATCCCGTGGTCGTCACCCAACGAAAGCCCCCGGCCGCAGTAGTTCCAAAATAAGTCTGCGTCCAGAACCTCGGACTAAACAGGGGTCCAGTTCCAAAGGACCTCCATCTGGGGTGGGATCCAGAACGGGGCTCCATTTGCCCCAGCTGGGCCAATTGAACCCCAGGTTCCGCACACGTGGGTGGAACCATTGGTTCCTCAACTCTTGAACGTGTATATCAACCTCCCGTTGCGCTCTTGGCATTCGATTCTTTCGGCGCTATTCTTACGACGACAAGAGTCAGATTCCGTCTCCTAGGAAAGGAAAGTCGCGGCGGCGTGCGCCGGACAACACGGCCGCGTTGTTGACTTGCCGATTCGGGGGTGTGCTCCGGCCGATAAGACGATACTTGGATTTGGCAGTCAGCTTGCATGTGGTAGAGGTCTCTGACTATCACTCACACAGCAGTCGAGCCCACGTGCTGGCAACTCTTACACAGCCATTTCCTACACAGGCATTGTGTATCAACCTTCAATTTCATTATCACATATTCATGCTTTCCTCCAAACATCCCGAACATCGCCAGGCCAATAGCTTCTTCGACTAGCACTCGACTCTGAGACTTCCAGACAGACGAAAATGAAAACATCGCCAAGGATGGGTTGTGCGACGTGCATGATCACTAGGCAGCAGTGGGCATCAGTCGGCCAATCATGACAGCAGCATCACAACACCTCAGAACCCCGCTTCAAGGCTCAGCATACGTCCTTTTTCATCATGGTGAATACTATTGAAACCGGCGAATCTTCCAAGCACTTTCGATGTGGCTCCTTGACACCCAGACACTCAAATTGCAGGAAATCGTCGATCCATCAACCGTCAACTATGCGATTCTCTCGCACACGTGGGAGCACGATGAAGTGTCATTCCAAGACATTTCCGACCTCGACACGGCTCGCAAGAAGGCCGGCTTCTCCAAAATCTCAAAGACCTGCGAATTAGCCCGGCAAAGGAGTATACCATATGCTTGGGTTGATACTTGCTGCATCGACAAGTCAAGTAGTGCTGAACTGAGCGAAGCCATCAACTCCATGTTCCAATGGTACAAGCTTTCTGTCGTATGCTTTGTGTACTTGTCGGATTTCACATTTGACGTTCCATTTTCCTCCTTCACTACGTACACTGTGGAAGAGAAGGCGCTCAAAAGTTCCAGGTGGTTCACTCGTGGCTGGACTTTGCAGGAGTTGATCGCCCCCAGCTCTGTTACATTTTACAACACACGGTGGAAAGCGTTGGCAACCAAGAATGAGCTTGCTGAAAAGTTGGAGCGCATTACGAGCATTCCTCATGCCGTATTGAAGTCTAGACAATTACTACGTACGGTTCCGGTCGCAGTGAAAATGTCGTGGGCAGCTCATCGGAAGACGAAACGAATCGAAGATCAAGCTTACTCTTTGCTTGGAATCTTCGACATCAATATGCCCATGTTGTATGGGGAGGGCTCCAGGGCATTCCGTCGGCTCCAGGAGGAGATTGCAAGAGAGACCAACGATCTCTCTTTATTTGCATGGCAAGCAAAAGAGAGAAGCCCTGATGGCTCACTTATAGCTTCTTGCAAGCAAGAGTTTCGAGGAATCCTCTCCCGTTCACCAGAAGAGTTCGTTGATGGCCCGAAACTGCATCGTAATACGAATGATGAGGACGTATGCGACTTTTCGCTTGCGAACAAGGGTGTTCGAATCGACACGACGTTTCGGAAAGGAAAGAACGGCATCTATGTCATGAACTTGGGACTCTCAGACTCAGAAACTGGTGCAGACGTTTGTATTTCACTCGTACGCACGGCTGATGGGTTTGTTCGTTCCCATCCATGGTCTCTATTCTGCGATATCGATGATGCATTCCCCAAGAACCAGGCTTTTACGGCTTACGTCAGGAAAGACGTAGACTTTGATGAAGAATCATGGATCAAGAGGCGACTGCACAGATCCTTCCACATCAACATCACTCTTCCACCATCTTTAGAGGTTGATTTCATCAATCCACACCCGAGGCAATTTTGGGATGACTTCTTCAGCACCTTTATAAGACCAAACCCATCCGAAAGCTTCGGGGCTTCCATTGATATCGGCATAAAAGGGGTCGATGGCGGCCCAGATGTGAGGTATCCCATGCGCATCACCTTGGCATGGTCGAAATTGACCTACAGAGTTCACGCGGTCATCCACAGTACGGAGCATCCCATAGAAGATGAATCGCAGGGAGAGAAGTTCAAAACCCCTGGTCGTCGTATGGTCTTAGGTAGGCTCCGTGACGAGATTCCTTCGTTCAAGAAGGACGACAGCTTCGGCAAGCCCACCACCAGCATAGAGGACCGAGTAAAGTCGATGTCTAAAAATACTAGACCTCACTCCGAGAAGGTGTACTTTGTCGATGAAGAAAGCAACGAGCAGCTCCAAGACTCTGAGGCCAAATCCGCCAGAGTAACAACGTTCGAAATCAGTCTCGAGACATGCAGTGACTTTCTCTTCACTGAGTACTACATTTTAGTAACTGGGCAAGTTCGCGTGATGGATCTCGCAACCGTTCTCGGAACTGACCAGTTTCGAAACCTCTTGGCTCTTGGTGTCAAGGATTGGGACCCCTATCTATTGGATCTTCACTACCACTCTGACTTCTCTGGGGAATAAGCGTTTGAAGCGTCGGCGGTAGGCTCCCCGTCATCGCCGACGGCTGAGGGGCTTTCTGCTGAATGTTCGCTTACGACCCCATAGATCCAATAGCGAATAGGTTTCAAATCTTCTCATATCTACCTATCTATGTCACAAGTCAGAATCTGTGATGAATGAAATCTCGATGTCGGAGATATCGAGAAAAGGTGTGCGGACTAAATCTTGCTCTAGTTCAGCTGTACTCTTGAACCGAAGACTCGTCACCCACATTGTCCCAGAACATATAGTAGCCAAAAAATATCTAAGTATAATATAACCCCCCGTGAAAATATTTGCTTGCTCATTCAACGACAGGTGACTTACTTGATCCTTTTCAAAGACCGCCTTGGCCAACATTGTAATCAAATGGGTCCTGGACATCTTGAGAGCCTCTTAGGCAGGCTCGAGATGTAACAGTGCTCATGCCTGCAACTCAATGACATGAATCACAGGATATCCAAGTTTCAAGTCTGGATTTCTTTCCTCCCTATCGATTTGTGTTATGAATACCTCCATTGGTCAAGCTGTGCCCTCTGTCGTTGAATCAACCCTAGACTGAGAACGATGTCATAGCCAAGGCGCATCTACGTTGTCTACTGGGCGAGCTGGCGATGAGCGTATCATTGACGCAATTGTTCAGATGTTCTGCTCACCAACACGGCAATATGAACAACACCTCGACACGCTGCGGGGGTGTCAGGATATTACCAGGCTTTGCGTGATATCAATAGCAGGGCATATTGGGATATCGCCATAACCAGCAATTTCAGAGACCGAACAACTTGATGTTAAATTTCGTTCAAGGCCACTACAATTACGGGCCTAGTGTGCGTTGTCCCCAAAAATCATGAGTATGCTGTCCGTCTTTGATTGAAATCTGCGTGAGATAGCTGAACAATATGCCAACGGGCGTCAAGGACAATGTCTTGGGAACACCTAGATCACTGCCTGCAGGTCCAATCCTCTCTTTGCGTCGGGTCCCAAGTCTTTTGCGTCTGGACGAGCCCATACTAATACTGGTATGCCAAGTGAAGAATCATTGAGAACCCATCTCATGCGGAATCATTGGGAATTGCGAGACTACTGTAATCCGGATGGATAGTTCTGGTTAAACTAGCGAAGACTTGAAGTACTTATTCTTCCTGCCATCGTGCGTGTTATCCTTGTCATCACCTATGAAACTTGGTCAAAGTCATCGTTAATATTTGCCAGGATAGCAAAGCTCCGTCGAAATCAAGGATCGACGAGGCTCGAATCAACTTCCAGGCTCTTAGACTGTACACAGAACGTCGGAGCGACGTTTACGGACAAATATCAACAGACCGCCACGCCCAGGGAGTCAAATCCCCCAACAGAGACCTCACATCACTTGCGTCGGTCCATGGTCACCAAACGAGATATGAGAAAACTCCGTGACGCGATTGACAGTCAGAAGCAACTTCCAAGTCGCGTACCGGGTCTGTACAACATTCCGGAGGGAACCAGGTGCGTACACATCGACGGGGGACAGTTTCTTGGACGGCCTAGGGATCGGAATGCTGCGAGACAAGTAGCAAAGTAAGTAGCAGATAATGCCTCCGATCGCTTCCGCTCTCATCTTCAACTTGCGTCTCATCTCTCACCTCCCACTTCGCCTACGAGAATCACCATGTCTTGACCTGAATCCCAACCCCGAAAACGTACCGTTTCGAAAGCCGATGCTTTCCGATTCTGTCTCTCTTTCACACTCAAATCCGACTACACAACAAGAAGAAACAACAGCACGCAGTTTCATCCGCATTCAAGTCTCCAGTGGGAAACCAGCCACAGTCTCTGATGTCCGAGACGCAAAGAAATACTAGGCAAGCCGTCCGTATAACTCACCTCGACATCTCACTGTTCCTGTCCCAAAAGACAAGAGTCTGTCTCGGCCTGTCCGGCTTGTAGAACAGCCTCATCTCCCCCGTATATGCACGAAACCGAAGCTTTCACCGGGCTGGATTACTACGGGGCCGATGTCGACGAAGGTCAGATCATGCTCAACGGCGCCTTTATCCCTGCGTCGAAGCCGCGGAAGACTGTTCAACAAAAAGTAAAAAAGAAAAAGCAAAGAACTGTCAGAATAAAATAAGAAAACATTACACTGACCAACGCCGCAGCGGCCGCCGCCGCCCATAGCAGAAACCTGTCATCCCACCTGCAAAACCCACGTCGCCGATCGCAGTCCGGGGGTACGTCTGCGTCTGCCACACAAAACAAGCACCCATCGACCATCGTCATTTCGCAAAACGCTTCGCTATCTGCGACGGTCTCTGCTCTCTCCCCCTCTCTTCCCCACCAACATCCATTTTGAGTCTCGGAGGCTAGAGGGCGCCTTGCCGTGTAGAATACGACCCCCGGGCGGGCCGCAACGATACAAAAATGGCGACGTGCCGATGAGGCGCCCGGCGGTGAAGAAGGGGAAGGGGGATCTACAGTCTACAGCGCCCGCTCCCCGCCTCCCATTTTACGAGCAATCCCATTTAGGGGATTACGGAGAAAAAAAAAGGCATTTAGGCGGGGGCCCTTCTTGGGGGCCATATCGCGGATGAAGAGGTAGGCTTCTGGAGACGAATAAAGACGAAGTGACAAATCGCCAAGGCGAGACATCTTGTCCTCTGTCCCCTCTCACGAACGGTACTCATTGGCGAGCCGGTGCATTGGGAACCAAATGCGGAGATTAAAACACCTCCTGCAGGGTCTCTCTCCAGGGGAACACGGGAAGTGACAGCTGTCGACGAAGTTTTTGACGTCGGATGACTGCAGACGTGTGCGACTTGTGGCTGCTGTTTCTGTGCTGCGAAAGGAGCGGGTATGCCGTGTCAGCCGGCCAGGCAATGTCTGAAACATAGCGATGGCCCTGTCCGACGCGGGAAACAGAACAGTTCGTTTCGTCGTCTGTGGTTGGGGAAGGATTGGGCCGACACAAGCGATGCGCCTCTGGGCCGTTGGTGCAGCCGAGGGGACGAGGATGAGGCGCCTCACACATCATAGACTTGCAGGTAGGCACTGCGATGCTAGGGTGCCATTCTCAGATACAAACGAGGCAGTTCGAACGCGACTTTACCGAGTCTTGCGAGACAAACGAGGACAGATCGCGAGCACCATACGAGCGACAACATCGCAGCCTTACTAGTGATGTCCAGCGCCAACGTGACGTGGTGTTGAACGAACCCTGGCGATGTCCGGAGCAACCGCTGCGGTCTGGCGGACACACGGGCCCTCACCTGAGCAGTCCTGATGGCGAATTGCTGCGTTTCATTCCGACGATTCCGTGGGTCATTCGCCCGATGGAGGGAGAATCGAAATCTTCAGGCGGCGTCCATTTCGTCCAGCATCACGCGGATGAAATCTCGATCTTACGTTTAATTGTGCCCTGCAGTGCTTTGATGCTGTCATCGCCGCTCTCAGCCATCGCACAGACAGCATCGCGGGTGCAAGATCTGGATGAGCACGGCCAGGGCTGTTAAATTGGCCATTTGACGTTGAGGAAACGCGTTTCTCAAGGCGTCTAATGGCAGCAGACGCGTCGGGGATTTGGTTACTCCTCGGGCCCGTACGAGAAACGGGAAGCTGGTGCTGCTGTATTTAGCTACAACCAGACCGTTGACGATGGTGGTGTTGAGGTCGAAAGTCGACAAACTCGGGCTACTGCCAATAGTCGGAATCTTGTCGCCCGCTTACCGTGTGCGAGGACCCAAACCCCTGAAATAGCTTCCTGCAGGTACGCAGATGGTTCCTGCATAGGCCCACCGGGCTATCTCACATACAGAATCGTCGCATGCGTTTCCTGCACGCCGCGCACTTTACTTGTTGCACTCTACACCACACGCGGAGAGTGACTGAGGTGGGCAGAAGAATAGCGTTGAAAGAACGGTGGAGCGCTGTTTCGATCCGTCGCCCGGCGTGTCTTACCCTCGACGCTGCTGGGACGAGCCAAGGGCTTTTTGGACAAGGTCAGGAACGAGCCGAGCTGAGGCTAGGGACTGCTGCACCTGCTAGGGGGGGCGATCCTCATGAAATCGTATCCTGCCTTCCCACGTGTCGTAGGCATGGGGAAATGAAAGAGCATGGACCAGTTTGAGGCGGTGCAGGCCTCAGTCCGCCACGCGCATCGCCGGCTTCGTCTAGCTTGCTCTGTCGAAGCAGTGTTTGGGACAATGTTTGGTCTTGACAAGCTTCAAATAAAGCCACATTGTAATGGCGCTGGTGTCCGTCCTCAGAGTCATTGTCAGAAAGACAGTTGAGTGGTGGCCGAGACCCCTTTTTCTGCTGACGGCGGGCCCGCGACTCACCCCCGCCGCCAGTCCGGATAATGGGGCTTGCTTTTCCAGCAGGTCAACTTGTCACCAAGACGCCACCATGATCTGGGTGACACGATGCGTATGGAGTTATCGGGGCAGGGTCGTCGTCGATGCTGACTTGCAAGCAATGCACTTAGAACGGCTGCCAGACCAGATCACACACCGTATCGGTCGCTCGCAGTTCCGGTGGGCGTTGACGGGTTTGCGATGCCAAAGCGTAGAAGCCTCGGCAGTGGGCGAGCCAGGCGATGACGGGTTCCAGAAGTCTAGCTGCTGGCACCGGCTTCCAGATTGTCCTGCAGGCATGATGCTTCAATGGCGGAAGTCCCTTGAAGCGTACGGGCCGCAAGGAGGGACGGTAGGAGGCCCAGCCAAGGGGAGATACGAGAAGCCGATTTGTTTGCTACACCGGACGTTGTCAAAGAGAAAGCAACCGCGGACATGATATCGGCCGCCTTGGGTCGTGTTCGCAGTCAAAACGCGGGCTCATCGAGTGTGATCGGATGTGATGGACGGCATGAGAGCTCGCGATGATGACGAGTTGTCGTGTGGCTTGGAGGATCTTGCCCTGGTCTCACAGGGTCCGTCCCACCTCCATTGTCTGCACTCAATGCCGAGAACAGGCGATGATCTCGAAGCAGGCACAGGGATGCAAAC